AGATGGATAGATGATGGATAGATGGATGGATAGATGCTGGATGGATGGATGGATGGATGGATAGATGATAGATGGAGGGATGGATGGATGATAGATGGATGGATGCAGAAATACACACAGGCATGTGCGTGTGCATGAATACTCCCATGTTCCTCCCTTAGGATGGCCTAGAGATAATGCCACCCCCCCAGCCCCAGGCAAGAGCACACCCAGCACCCAGTGAAGTCGGTCCCTAAACGCCATCCTGCAACTGGAGGAAGGTGCTCCTTGGGGCAGGGACACTACAAGCCTGTCCTGGGGTGGCAGAAAGTAGGAACGAGCTCACTCAGCAGACGGGGCGTGTCAAGGGGACACAGGAGTCATGTGAATGTGCGCTCAGTGGCTCAGGCTGGAACAACCCGCCAGGAAAATAATTAGTGATAGTGTTGGGTTGTAACCCACAGAATAAATTAAATATGCCTGAATTTGCACTGGCGTGAATAACTGCATAAAGAAAGGAATGGAAGGACAGGGATGGGTTTTCTTCAGAGAATGGAATAAAACAGCGGCGATGGGGGCCCAGGAAACCCCGTTAGGGCCCCGCGGTCACACAGCCGCAGGAAGGCTGCTGACAGGCGCCAACCTCAGTGCGCAGAAGCTTATGGAGAAGCAGGACATCTGCGGCCTCAGGGGCCTCTCCCCATGTATTTACTAGTTAGGACACCGGGGCGTGCAGAGCCCGGCAGGGCACTGCCATCACCCGCGATAAAATGTACGGACATGCTCTCACTCGGCGCGGTGCCTGGGGCTACCCCGGCCACCAGAGAAAGAGCTAGCCCCAGGGCCACCACACACGGACATCAGGCTGTCGGAGCTCCTGTTTCTGCCACGTGACGGGCCAGCCTGGTGCCACCGTTTCAGACACCGTTTCCTACTTGGGTGAGTGTTGGAGAATGCTCTCCCTGACCCCCGGGGGGCTGGGCGGAGGGGAGGCGTGCTTCCCTCTGGGCTCCATGCCTGCACACCTCTAAGGGTGTCTGACCCCACGAGGGGGCTGCTGTGCAGTGTGTCTGGTGCTGCCGCCGCTCCCCACCAGCCCCGAGCTGAGGCTGCCCCACTGTGAGCACCCTGGGAGCCCCATCCAGGCCCCGAGGCCACCGAGGGGCAGCCCAAAGGCTCCCCAGGGAAGCTGTGTCTGCCCAGCACTTGCTCCCTGAGACCCTGCTTTCCTGGCCCTGGGCCCCCCAACAGGGGGGACCTGCTCACAGCTCCGGGGGCATTGAGCAGCCCCGGGTGGGGTCCCCCATCGCCAGCCTGCAGACGCAGAGGTGCAAACTGTTCAGCCCCCGGCAGCACATCACCAAGCCCCACATAAGCACCCTCACTCAGGAGACTCTGCTGGAAATGGAGGCCTCAGCCCCGGAGTGCCCCTTCTGGGCCTGATCCTCCTGCGGCCTCCTAGCCTGGGGGGCAGGGTGGGGGGACGGGCAGGGAGAGGAGGTGAGGGGCCAGGAGGCCAAGCTCATGACTGTGCCTGAAGGGGAGGGCGGCCTGGGGGCTGCGGCTCAGGAGGAGAAGGGGGATTGCTCTGCAGAATAAAGGAGGAAGCTTCTGTTTTTCAAAGTTTCGGGGGAGTGGAGGTGGGCAGGGCTGGCCAGTAGACCCCAGAGGGGCTGGAGCACATTAGGACAGTTCTTCACTGTGGGGAGATGAGACCACCCTCGAACCTTGAAGCGCAGGGATGTCCCCACAGCACATGCTCAGGGGCCTGGGGGAAGTGTCCTGGGTCTGGGCCAGGAGGTCCATACAGGGTCAGCACATGAGGGCCCCTGAAGAGTCCACACAGGGATGCCCATCAGGGAGCAGACTCTGGTCCAGGGGTGGTGGTGGGAAGGGAGCCTGGACAGACACCCAGGGCTCCCACTGCAGGGCAGGTCCCAGCAAACTGAACTTACACCTCCACGGGGACCACACTGGACTAAGCAGGATCAGATGAGGCCAGAAAGAGGTGCGTCCATGCCCCACGAGAGCCCCAAACAGCGGGGAGGGGAAATGTGGTCTCCCATGGACGGATGGGGGCACTTACCTGCTCGCCACCTGGACATCGGGCTCCCTTCTCGTATCTGCAGGACCACAGGTGTGTGGCTGCCCTCAAATGGGCACTGCCCTTGAGGGCAAAGGCCGGAGCCCTGCACTGGGCAGCTCCAGCCCCATTCAGCTCGCCTGCAGCGCACGGCCTCCGGGCAGGGGGTGAGGGGCTGCTCCAGGTGCCCAGGGCGTCTGCAGTGCCTGGTCTCTGCATTCCAGGAAAGCCAGGCCCCTCTCCAGTGGGGGTCGGGGCGCTCTCTCGTCCCACCTCCCACTGTCATGCTCCTCAGTCTCGGCTCACTCCCACTGTGTTCCTCCGTGTGGTTCAGGGTGGCCTAGAAGGCGAGGTTGATGTCACGGTGCGTGCGGCCCCCCACACTAGCGCCCAAGGCAACAGCATCTTAAAACCAGGCAAGGGTGTGCCGGCCAGAGGTGCGCAGGACCCCAAGTGGGCGAGTCCTCACGGGCCACCTGAGGGGTCGGGGAAGCCGTCCTCGGGACATCCCCCACGACCCATCTGGGCTTCCCTGAATGAGGATCACCTCTGTGGTCACAGGCTTCACTGTGTCCTTTTGTGGGCTGCCTGTGTTCTTCCTGATCGGTTCATCCGAGATGTGTGTTGCGCGATTGAGGGGCCATGAGGTGGGAGTGTAGGGCTATGGATGCTCCCGCACAGAAGCAGCTCTTTGCACCTGCTCAGCAGGGAACTTGTGCATCCCTGTCACCGGGATCAGGAGGCTGCGTCCCAAGGAGGGACCCCAGGGTCCAGCAGCCAAGACCAGGTCTCTTCCAGAGGAGCCCCAGTCAAAAACTAGTTCTAATTCTGGCTCATCAGAGTGGACAGTTGCCCGCTCAGTGGTGCTCAAAGCCCCCCTTTCTCCCTCTTCCTCGACGGGATGGGGTCCCCAGAGACCAGATCCTCTTGGGGCTTCAGGGACCGGATGGGGCATCTTGTTTTGCCGCCCAGGCACCCACTGCTCTCTGGTCCAGCTGGAGGAAAGGGGTCTGGCTCCTCTGGAGACTGGAAGAAATGAGATTCAGGACACAGGTCAGGGAGGCTTCTCGGGAGAGGAAGGGGCTGGAGGGAGGGGGTGGGGGTGGGGCCAGGGAGAGGGAGAGGATGCCGCTGCCCCGAGGGGAGCCTCCTACACACCCTCGGAAGGGCGGGGCACGGGCTGAGCAGGATGGCGAGGCCAGCGCTGCTGGTCCTCTCATCTTATGTCGGAAGGAAGCAGTGGTCAGGCCTTTGCATGTGGCCCTGGTCTAAAGCCTCAGTAATGACACCACGGCTGAGCATGACTGGTTTCACGTCTGTGAATGAGACCCGCGTATCACGAAGCCCGGGCACTTCTGGGCGAGTCTGCAGTATAAGCCCAGCTTGTCCTCAGCGCCAGTGGAAAAGGACAAGAAACGCGAGAGGACCGCGCTCTCCAGCGCTGCTTCCTGCCGAGGCCACAGAAGCAGGAAAGCGGAGCGCGTGCGCGACTCCCGCCAGGTAGGCGCACCTGGGGGTTCCTCCGCGCTCCTTCCCGCTCAAGAGGGGCACGCACCCTCAAGCCCTCTGACCGACCCCTGAATCCTGGCCCTGGATTTGGAACAGCCCTCTGGACACGCCTTGGGCTTCCGACAGCACGCGGGCAGCTCGAGTGCGGGGAGCCCCCGCTGGCCCCTGGGGGGCGGGCGGGACCCTGGCCGGATGGCGCCAGCCGATGAAATACTCACCGTGTGGGGGCCAGGCGAGCTATGACCACAGAATGAAAGCTAAGGAGAAAAATAAGAACAAAAATAGAAACTGAAAAGGGACGGGGAGGGCAGAGACATGGAGGGAAAAGAGAGAAAAAGAGTTTGTACAGCTCTGGCAAGAAAGGACGTGGTCGCAGACACAACGAGACGCGCCTCCACCAGGCTCAGGGCGTGCACGAGGCGCACGCGCGCCCCCCGGGGCGTGAGGACAGCGCTGCCCCCGCACCCACACGCATGCGCGTCCGCCCGCCGCCTCTGCACCCTCTGTGGAGCTGATGCTCAGGACCCTCGCGGGCGGAGAGTGAGGATGGGGTCTTGTGGAAGGACATTCCGAGGGCGGGCAAACCCAGAGCCCCGACAAGGCGTCGGCCCCGGCCCCACGGTAGGTGGTAAAGAGCCAGCAGCCTGCACAGATGCCACACGGAAGCCTCCCGCGGCATCGGGGGGGGGGGCGGCGGCGGGGGGCGGGTGCAGCCAACTCGGCAGCGGCACAGCCACGGTAAAGGAATTCACACCCGGCGGTTAAAAGCCAGGTGCTTCATACGCACAATGCTCTCCCGTGAAGATGCAAAGGGAAACAGACGTTTATTTGCGGGGGAGAGACGGCCGCCGCACGGTGAGGCTGGACCCTGAGCACAGCGCCCCTGCCCCTCCGGCCTGTTCCCCGCGGGTCAGCGTCCACACGGCAGCAAATCTTATTTGCCGGAACGCCTCCCTGCTTCCCACACTGCGTGGTTCTAGGGGCCGCTCACGGGCGCTCAGGGCATGATGACCGCTGGGCAGATGACAGTAAAGGGTCCAGGGAAGGGGCAGGTGTCACTGAGGAGCAGGGGTGGGTGGGGTGTGGCAGGCGGCCACTGGGAGGGGCCACTCTCTCCTGCGGCCTCTTCCTGGGAAGGAGGCCGTGCCGCCTGCGGGGCTCCGGAGCCAGCAGCAGCCTCCTGCTCTTTCCAGAAGAGACAAGGCTGGGAGGTGGCCCCACTGGCCGCTTCACTCAGCACCCAGTGGGGAGCTGGTCATTTGGCGAGATCCACCCCAAGAACCGAACAACAGCGTGACCACGGACATATGAAAACATCCCTAAATCACAGAGAAAGAACGGCCCCCAAACTAAGCAAACCCCACAGGAAGAGTGTTCCCTCTGGGCACACTGTGGGCACCTCGATTTAGGGAGGGCCTAATTGGGCTGAATGGACAGAACCCCTGTGACTCCACGCCTGGCAGGGCTGGGGGTCTGGGAAAAGAGCCAGCTGGTCCGCCCCAGGCCCCAAACTTACTGCACGCCAGCACCTGAGTATCCTAACCCCAAAGCAGGTGCATTAAGGCCCAGAAACCAGAGACTGGTGTTGGACAGATGACCTGCTTTCAAGAGGAAAATCTGGCCTTTCTGGAACTTAACTTTTAGACCAACCGCTTGGTGAACGTGGAGGAATCCTATACATCAGCACGATCACCAGCCCTACAAGGACCCTAGGTCGACGGCCCAGTTCCCACTGCTACAGCCAGGGAAACTGAGTCTGGGAGAGACGCGGCCCCCGTGAGGCGGCTCGGTTTCCTGTTCACCATCGCCCCACGCCCCAGAGCGTGCTAACCGGCACCACTCCCCGTGAACAAAACAGACCCCAAAATGCGCATGTATGTTACCTTTTCCTCCAGTTCCTTTATTTGCCTCTTCTGACCTTCTATTCTTTCTTCTAACTCTTTAATTCTCTGCAATGTTAAAGGAGGAAAATCTTCACTCATCAGAATATTTGGGAACCAAGGTGTTCGTTCATTTACGTGTTGGACGAGTCACAGAGCCACTGCCAGCCGGCACCGGGAGCGAGTCACCGGGAGCCTGGCTGTCCTCTCTCTGCGACTGCTCACCGCTCGGCAGCCGTGGCCGAGCAGGGTGGCAGCTTGCCTCGCCTCGGTTTCCCTGGCGGACACAGCCTTCCTCATTCGTCTGCTCTGCTCCTCCCGCCCCTACAACTTCAGATCATAAACCGTGTGCTGGGAACCCCAGGAATTGATTCACACCCTTCCCAGATGTCACCAGCAGCAGCGTGAAGGGCCGCCACAAGTCACGAAGCCGTCCCAGGAAGGACTCCCTTGCGAAGGTGATGCCGTGCTTGAAGCCCTCGTGTTCACGTTGGTAGACCAGGCCCATGAGATGCAAATTTGCGCATCCTCGCTGGACCTGGATGCCTGGACCATGGAAGCAGCCGAGCTCTGGCCACAGCCTGTCTGATAGGAAGGACGGGCCCACAGGTGTGGTCCTCACATTGACCACCCTGAATCTCGCAGCGAGTGTCCTGGCAGCTGACTGATGCTCTGGTCAGACGTTACCCAAACATTCACAGTAAAGCCTGGGTCACTAATTTACCTGACTTTGCAAGTGGAGCCTTTGTATTTGGGGTGTTCTGAACACAGAACGCATCCGTAAAGGCCCCTTCCGGGCCCCACAGGCACCCACGGGAACAGAGGCTGTCTAATGCCCGGGTCCCTCACCTGCTGCTAGAAGTGAACCAGCTGGATTAGCCTGAGGTCCTAAAGTGCCCAAGGTCAAGAGAAGGCCAGGGGCTGCTCCCCAGCCCACGAGCTGCCCAGACCACACCTTCACCACGTCCTTACAGTTGAAAGGGAGGCATCTTAGAGACCTCGCAGTCAGGAGACCCAAGAGAGGGCATGTGCCACCCCGAGACTGGTCTGACGGGGCAGGTAGTGTGGCACAAGGGCCTGCCGTGGGAGGGTGTGGCCACCGGAGATGGGACTACCACGGGAGGGTGTGGCCGTGGGGCTCCTCGGATGAAGCGCCTGGCCCCCTCTTTGCCCCCCC